TATATATATATATATATATATATGTACATATATGTATATATATATATTCAAAACAAGTTGCTGCTTCGCATTGGGAACACAAATAATGTATAGATCAAATAGAATAAGACAGTGCTCAAACATATAGGAACATAATCCGATCTATCCGACTATCGCCTTATCTCAATTTTATCAATCTTCTCATTGGAAAGAGTTATTTACGATCGCACTTTCTCATATATTTCTAAGTATTATATACTCTATAACAAACAGTCTGTTTTCAGAAAATATTACAGTACGGCCCTCATGGAAAATAACATAGATAATGCTCTTAAAACCGACATCTTGCAATCGATGTTTTTAAAGATCTTTCCAAGGCCTTTGATACAATTGATCACAATATCCTTTTGTATAAATTATCGTTCTACGGAATACGTGGACCCGCACTTGATCTCTACAAAAGTTACCTCTCGAATCGTGCCCAATGTATAAAATATTGTAATTCTTATATCCAACGAGTCCCACAACGATCATTGTTGGGTGCTCTCATGTTTATTTTATATATTGACGGTGCTCTCATGTTTATTTTATATATTAACGATACCCATCTGTCCTCTAAGTTGCTCAATTTCTTTCTCTATGCCGATGATACAAAGCTTTATTTCTAACCAAAATATTTAATCATTATACAAAGCTTTATTTCTAACCAAAATATTCAATCATTATTCGATACTATTAACCCCTATTTGCTTCTATGTCCCCGTACTTTTGTGTTCAGTCAACCACAAAAAAAAATGTAGCTTCATCCTGTTTGGGCCCCGAAAACCTCCAAAAGTATCGATCTTTCAGGCTCCAAAATTTGTATCGATAATCACAAAATACCCTCTGTTCAATCAGCAAAATTCGTAGGAGTGCATTTAGACAGTGGGCTCATGTGGAAAATGCACGTAAGCGAAGTTGAGAGTAAAATTTCCAAAAGCCTTTGCATCATTCCTAGACTTTCCTAATTTATTCCCTGTAATGTTTACGTATTCACTGGTCTCTAATTCTTCCTTATTTGAACTACGGCAGTATTTTTGGGGGGCAATTCTATCCATCTAATTATAGTCATGGGGTCTATGTAATTGCTTAGGGTTTTGATGAATAGAAGGTCCAAACTATTTATGTATGTAAGTTAGGTCCCAAATAAAACACAAACACGAAACATGTTGACAACTTTGGAATGGCGGCAGACGTCCGCCATATTGAATTTAAAAATGGCCTCTATTTTGAAATTAAGTGTCCATCTTGACAACCGCAATACCACAGAAACTTTATTTTTGTCTCAAATTGTTTGTAATATATAATCTACTTTAACTTCAGGTGCTACGAAGTCTCTTCTTCCACGTTTAGCCAAAAGCGTTAGAGTACAAATTCATGCAAATGTATAAATATTTATTAGTAATTCATAAGAGGATTAAAATATTATAAAAACAGTTAAAATATTTGAACATCAGAAAAATACAAAAAAAAATCAAAAAATCAATCAAAAATAGTACATCCAATAATTTGAGCGACAGAGTGAAAAAGAGAGGGGCAGGGGCATTTCACCTTGTCATGTTTGCTATTGGTTAATAAGTTTGATGTAATATAAAATGGGGCTATTAGAGAAACGTTTCGTTTTACAATGAAGTTGGGTGATATATTATTCTTACTACGAAGATTCTACCATCATTTTCTGGGGCGCATTTCGGATTTGGCGTTAGGGGCTGAGGGCAGAACATTTTGAGAATATGAACCGCTCAGGCGCAGATCCAGAATTTAAGCTCGATTTATTTCCAAACAATCACTCACCCTATTGCGTTTAGAGACGGATCCAGTAGGGGCACGGGGGAACCTGCCCCACCCCCTTTTTGCCTCTATTTAAAAAATTTTAATGCATATTAATGTTATGTGCTACTCGCTTATCTATCCTGAAACTGCTGTGCCCCCCAACCCCCGCGTTTAAAAAATTCTGCATCCGCCCCTGTGCGTTGCAGATGAATCGGGATGCCTTTTCTAAATGCGTCAGAGCAGCCAGCAATGCACCCTGATTCGTCTGAACGCAATCGGCAAAGTTGAACCAGGTTCAACCTTCCCGAGCTGTCACCGACTCCCGCCGAGAGTGAGTGATCCTATGGAAACCGAGCTTTACCCTGACCATCGCACAGATAGGGTCCCTGAGTGGGTGGTGGCCAGGATGCAGGGTCATGAGAAGAGAACGTAATGTTTGTTCTGTCGCTGGAAGACAAATTTAGGTAGGGGTAGGCGGAGAAGGGCAGGTGGTGTTGAGGGAGTCTTGTTCTCATTAGGAAAGTTTTGTTTCCTACATGCACTTACGTGCATTCTGAGACGTCTATTGATGAATGAATACACTCTGAATTGATGATGATGGTGATGATGATGATGATAATGATGATGATGATGATGGTGGCGGTGGTGGTTATGATGATGATTGGTCCTTTTGAAAAAGTATTACAGTCTAATGTGACCACAACAAAGGAAGTCCTTTAAATGTTTAATAGCATAGTACAGAGAATTTGATTGTTTACCAATATCATTATTATAATACACATCCAATTTCCAAAAAAAAAAAAAAAAAAAAAAAAAAAACGTTTATACAATGCATGCGCCGACGTGCACTGTAAATAGGCCTACTCTTAGTTAATAACTTGGTTTTAAAATTCATCCTACGACCACAATTTTTAATTTGTTACTTCTTTAAAGGAAAAATAATAATGCAATTCTTTCAATAATTGAACTCTTACCATAAATTGTCTTCTGTGATTAGTTGATTGCCAACATTTCAATGCTTAGTGGATTTAATGCTTTTGATGGACGGATATAATGCGTATTCTCACAATAATTTAATATTTCTAAAAGCTATTTGGAGTATATGATCACTCCCATTATAAATTACATCCACAGGGTGCCCCTAAGCCAAAATCTTAAAAATAAATAAATTTTTATTATTTTTTTTTAATCACAGAAAATCACAAATTTATATTCAGTACATTCTCGACTGTTGGAAATGTGGACCTTTTCAAATTTGGTTAGGTACGTTATACACACCCTTCGCAACACCCACCATACCGGATATACGGGCCTGAAAACTTTACATTTTAAATCAAAATAATAAAGAACTCAACAGTGTACGTTATCACAGTACATCACGCGGCCGATTTAATTGCAGTCCCTTTTTGATTAATTCTTAGACAATGCAAATTGTATTGCATTTATTTTTTTCTATAATTTTGTCTTTGGTTTAGGTAGGTGGAATTTCTGAAGGAAAGAGTTGTGATTCGCCATACCACCAGGCACTGCAATCACTTTATATTTTTTTTAATATCTTGTCTCTCACTCTGACCTTCGCGCTGGCGAACGGATCCGCGCCTAAATGTCTAGGTGCCCAGAAAGTGCACCCTCATACCTTTCAGCAATACAATACAATAGTTATTTTTCTTAATAGAATTTAGGGGGTGCGATCGCACCGTCTGTCTCTGCCCCTGCATCCGCTCCAGTCTGTCCATTTGCACCTGATCCTGACTCACTGTCCCGCTGACACAAGGCTACATAATAATTGTCTTGAAAAAGAGCGCCATAATTATTATCAGACACGTAGGCCTATTTTGTTACGTTGTGCAATATGCCATTCATAAAATAATATAAAAACAGTTCGCTCCTTCCTTCGTTTATTATGCTGTAAATACAACACCTATTGAGGATATCGGCACTCTTACCGTGGGAAATTAACTGTTCTGTGTGTAAACATAGACATTACTTTATTCATCGAGTAAATCTGGAAATTACATACAGTAGGACACCGGTTATGTTGACACTGAACAAACTCATTGTAAATCGCTTACATAGATTAAGAAAAGCGGATATTGGAAGTATTTCATTATTATCATAGGAAACAATATCGATTGTCATTATGTAAAATGGAAGTTGTTGAGCGTATACGGTTCATATCACATGATGAAACATTCTATAAAATCATAACCCTTCAAACTCATTATGATATGAATTGTTTCGTATCATATTACGTAGTTTGATGCCCTTTGTGTAGCATGTGACGTACTAATGCGAGATTAATTGATTGATTGACAAATTTTAAGAAAGAATGATTGATTATTTGATTATTGGTTAATTGATTGAAGTATTAATTAATTGATTGATTATTTTGAGAAATTGTTGGCCGAACGATTTATTGATTGACGGAAAGATTGTTTGCCATAATGCTAAATTATGACAATATTATGACTCATTGACTAATTGACACAATAATTTA